CACCTGGCAGCTATACATTCACCGGGCACTTTATTAGGTTCACCTTGCTAGCGCTAGGTTGAACCCCCTTTTACCTTCAGAACTGCCCTAATCCTTGTGGCATAGATTCAACAAGGTGTTGGCAACATTCCTCAGAGTTTTTGGTCCATATTGACATGATAGCATCACACAGTTGCTGCAGATTTGACAGCTGCACCTCCATGAACTGTTGAGCCAAATTCTGTCCCCACCATCTGAATGTCACAGCTGAAATTGAGACTCATCAGACCAGGCAACATTTTTCTAATCTTCTATTGTCCAATGTTGGTAAGATTGTGTGAATTGTAGCCTCAATTTCCTGTTCTTAGCTGACAGGAGTGGCACCTGATGTGGTCTTCTGCTGCTTTAGTCCACCTGCTTCAAGGTTTGGACGTGTTGTGTGTTCAGAGAGGGTATTCTGCATACCTTGGTTGTAACAAGTAGTTAGTCCTAGTATCTCCTCCTGGGATCTGTTGACATTGGTAAATATCCTTGTCCAAAGTCTGATGGCGGTGGTGGATCACCTGGTGCAAGGTCTGGAGACAGTGACGGATCACCTGACGACAATAATGGATCATCTGGTATAGGGTCTGAGAACAGAAGTGGATCTTTTGGTATAGACCTGACAACAGTGGTAGATAAGCAGGTATAGAGTCTAATGAAAAGGTTGATGTCCCGGTATGGGATGTTACCACTGGTAACACAATCGGTGCAGGTACTGATGATAGTGAATGATCTTCTGGTTTAAGGTCTGATGACAGAATTGAATATCTTAATACAGGAAATGATGGCATTGGTAGATCTACCAGTACAAGGTCTGTTGTGGATGTCCAGGTACAGAATCTAATGAAAATAGTGGATCTTCGGGTATGGGGTGTGGTGACAGAGGTTGATCTGCTGGTACAGTGTCTGATGACAGCAGTGGATGGCCTGGCACAGTGTCTGATGACAGTGGTGGATGGCCTGATACAGAGCCTGATGACAGTGCTGGAACCCTGGTACAGTGTCTGATGACAGCGATGGATCTCCTTGTGCAGGACCTGGTGACAATGGTGGATTTTGTTTACAGGGAATAAGAGAAGTGGAACTCCTGGTATGGGGTTTGATGACATTGATGGATATCCTGATACAGGGACTATGGACAATGGTAGATCTTCTGACACAGGGTCTGGAGATGGAGATTGGTCTCCGGGTACAAGGTCCAATGACAGAGATTCATCTTGGTAAGGGGTGAGCAGCCATGACAATTTAGCCTCATATCCCCATGCAGGGACTACTGGTATAGAGTCTGATGACAGAGACTGATCTCCTTGGGCAGGGTTTGATGACAGAGACTGATCTCCTGGTGTGGGGTCTGATGACAGAGACTGATCTCCAGGTGCGGGGTCTGATGACAGAGACTGATCTCCTGGTGCAGGGTTTGATGACAGTAGTAGATCTCCTGGTGCATGATCTGATGACAGTAGTAGATCTCCTCGTGCATGATTTGATAATAGAGACTGATCTCCTGGTGCAGGGTATGATGACAGAGACTGATCTCCAGGTGCGGGGTCTGATGACAGAGACTGATCTGATCCAGGTGCGGGGTCTGATGACAGAAACTGATCTCCTGGTGCGGGGTCTGATGACAGTAGTAGATCTCCTGGTGCTGGGTCTGATGACAGAGACTGATCTCCAGGTGCGGGGTCTGATGAGAGACTGATCTCCAGGTGCATGGGTCTGATGACAGAGACTGATCTCCAGGTGCAGGGTCTGATGACAGAGACTGATCTCCAGGTGCCGGGTCTGATGACAGAGACTGATCTCCAGGTGCGGGGTCTGATGAGAGACTGATCTCCTGGTGTGGGGTCTGATAACAGAGACTGATCTCCTGGTGCAGGGTCTGATGACAGAGACTGATCTCCAGGTGCGGGGTCTGATGAGAGACTGATCTCCTGGTGCGGGGTCTGATGACAGAGACTGATCTCCTGGTGTGGGGTCTGATGACAGAGACTGATCTCCTGGTGTGGGGTCTGATGACAGAGACTGATCTCCAGGTGCAGGGTCTGATGACAGAGACTGATCTCCAGGTGCAGGGGTCTGATGACAGAGACTGATCTCCTGGTGCGGGGTCTGATGACAGAGACTGATCTCCTGGTGTGGGGTCTGATAACAGAGACTGATCTTCTGGTGCAGGGTCTGATGACAGAGACTGATCTCCAGGTGCGGGGTCTGATGAGAGACTGATCTCCTGGTGCATGATCTGATGACAGTAGTAGATCTGCTGGTGCATGATCTGATGATAGAGACTGATCTCCTGGTGCAGGATCAGATGACAGTAGTAGATCTCCTGGTGCCGGGTCTGATGACAGACTGATCTCCAGGTGCGGGGTCTGATGACAGACTGATCTCCAGGTGCGGGGTCTAATGACAGAGACTGATCTGGTGCAGGGTCTGATGACAATAGTAGATCTCCTGGTGCATGATCTGATGATAGAGACTGATCTCCAGGTGCGGGGTCTGATGACAGAGACTGATCTTCTGGTGCAGGGTCTGATGACAGAGACTGATCTCCTGGTGCGGGGTTCTGATAACAGAGACTGATCTCCTGGTGCATGATCTGATGACAGTAGTAGATCTGCTGGTGCATAATCTGATGATAGAGACTGACTGATCTCCTGGTGCAGGATCAGATGACAGTAGTAGATCTCCTGGTGCCGGGTCTGATGACAGACTGATCTCCAGGTGCGGGGTCTGATGACAGACTGATCTCCAGGTGCGGGGTCTAATGACAGAGACTGATCTGGTGCAGGGTCTGATGACAATAGTAGATCTCCTGGTGCATGATCATGATCTCCAGGTGATGATAGAGACTGATCTCCAGGTGCGGGGTCTGATGACAGAGACTGATCTGGTGTCTGGTGCGGGGGGGTCTGATGACAGAGACTGATCTCCTGGTGTGGGGTCTGATAACAGAGACTGATTTCCTGGTGCGGGGTCTGATGACAGAGACTAATCCCTTTGTGCGGGGTCTGATGACAGAGACTAATCCCTTTGTGCGGGGTCTGATGACAGCAGTAGATCTCCTGGTGCATGATCTGATCATAGAGACTGATCTCCTGGTATAGAGTCTGATGACAATGGTAGATCTTCTGGTTTGGTGCCCAATGACAGTGATAGATCTCCTAGTATAGCATTTGTGATGACAGCAGTGAATCACCCGGTATAGGGTCTCATGACAGAGGTAAGTGTCCCAGTTTGTGGTTCGATGACAGTGGTAGATCTCATGGTATAGGGAATAAAAACAACGGTGGAATACTTGGTACAGCACCTGATGACAGTGGTGGATCTCCTTGTACAGGATCTGATGACAGTGGTGGATCTCCTTGTACAGGATCTGATGACAGTCATAGATCTTCTTGTACAGGATCTGATGACAGTGGTGGATCTCCTTGTACAGGATCTGATGACAGTGGTGGATCTCCTTGTAAGGATCTGATGACAGTGGTGGATCTCCTTGTACAGGATCTGATGACAGTCATAGATCTTCTTGTACAGGATCTAATGACAGTGGTGGATCTCCTTGTACAGGATCTGATGACAGTCATAGATCTTCTTGTACAGGATCTAATGACAGTGGTGGATCTCCTTGTACAGGATCTGATGACAGTGGTGGATCTCCTTGCACAGGATCTGATGTCAGTCATAGATTTCCTTGTACAGGATCTGATGACAGTCATATATCTCCTTGTACAGGATTTGATGACAGTCATATATCTCCTTGTACAGGATCTGATGACAGTGGTGGATCTCCTTGTACAGGATCTGATGACAGTGGTGGATCTCCTTGTACAGGATCTGATGACAGTGGTAGATCTCCTTGTACAGGATCTGATGACAATGGTGGATCTTCTGGTACAGGGATTAATAGAAGTGGAACTGCCGGTATGGGTTTTGATGACAGTAATGGATATCCTGGCACAGGAACCAATGACAATGGTAGATCTTCTGGTTCAGGGTCTGGTGATTGGTCTCCTGGTACAAGGTCCAATGATGGAGATTGATCCTGGTAAGGGGTCTAGTGACACTCAGTGAGCAGCCATGACAGTTTATCCAGGCACTGTTCTATATGTTAAAATGATATCCTAATTAGTGCTTACAATGTAGTTTATAGACAAAAGGTCAGTCATCCCAAAAATTATAATTTAAGGAAACCTGAACTGATAAAAAAAATATGTATGTTGCAAACGCTGACCTCCGTTTCTGAAAATATGTGCATGGCTCAGGCGTGGACTGACAACTCATGGGGCCCCCGGGCAATAGGGGATCATGGGGCTCCCTGTGGCTTTGCCCAAACTCAAAAAAGCCTATGAAAAAGGTTCCAGGGGCATCTAATGGGGCCCCCTACTGACCCCGGGCCCTTGGGCAGTGCCCGAGTTTCCAAATGGTCAGTCCGCCCCTGGCCTGGCTGACACAATAGCTAAAGTGGAAGATGGGTCAAAACCTAAGTATAAATCTGCTCCCACCCCACTCTAAACCTGTTCTATCCACCCTGTAAAAGGAAAGATGTCTATACTGACCTATTGTAAAGTCACTTAGGTCCGATCACATGATCGAGTCCCAGCTAAAGCTTACCTGTAGAGGGAGGACAGCCGACAATAATTCCCCATACTGCCCCATAGTGAGCCTATAGGTGACCTGCTCTGCAGCCGTGGTCGGCAACCTCTCCTCTACACTAAAGCCAGCACTGCAGACATCGAGACCGGACTGGAGCGACTTGAGGGAAGTATAGGCATCTTTCCTTTTACAGGGTAGATAGAATTGACTTAGAACGGGGGTGGGAGCGGTTTTTAGTTAAGTTAGATTTTGACTTGCCTTCCTGTCCTTGCTGTCCCAGATCAAGGACTTGGACTGCACTCCCACCCAGGCCAGTGTCTCAGAAAGTATTGAAGCTGTTGGAGCAAAGTGACAACCGGACAGTTACTCCAATTTCAGGAGTGGTCAGCAATTGTATCTTCTGTATTTCAGGCAGCGCAGGTTTCCTTCCAATTATCCAATTACCTCATCGCAGGCTATCCCCTCTTCATATCATGAATGGTGCTGCCAGACTCATCCACCTTACTAACCGTTCTGTATCTGCCACCCCTCTCTGCCAATCCCTCCACTGGCCTCTACTCAGTGTCCTCCACCCCTCTCTGCCAATCCCTCCACTGGCCTCCACTCAGTGTCCCCCACCCCTCTCTGCCAATCCCTCCACTGGCCTCCACTCAGTGTCCTCCACCCCTCTCTGCCAATCCCTCCACTGGCCTCCACTCAGTGTCCTCCACCCCTCTCTGCCAATCCCTCCACTGGCCTCCACTCAGTGCCCTCCACCTCTCTCTGCCAATCCCTCCACTGGCCACCACGCAGTGTCCTCCACCCCTTTCTGCCAATCCCTCCACTGGCCTACACTCAGTGTCCTCCACCCCTCTCTGCCAATCTCTCCACTGACCTCCACTCAGTGTCCTCCACCCTTCTCTGCCGATCCCTCCACTGGCCTCCACTCAGTGTCTTCCACCCCTCTCTGCCAATCCCTCCACTGGCCTCCACTCAGTGCCCTCCACCTCTCTCTGCCAATCCCTCCACTGGCCGCCACGCAGTGTCCTCCACCCCTCTCTGCCAATCCGTCCACTGGCCTACACTCAGTGTCCTCCACTCCTCTCTGCCAATCCCTCCACTGACCTACACTCAGTGTCCTCCACCCCTCTCTGCCAATCCCTCCACTGGCCTCCACTCAGTGCCCTCCACCTCTCTCTGCCAATCCCTCCACTGGCCGCCACGCAGTGTCCTCCACCCCTCTCTGCCAATCCCTCCACTGGCCTACACTCAGTGTCCTCCACCCCTCTCTGCCAATCCCTCCACTGACCTCCACTCAGTGTCCTCCACCCTTCTCTGCCGATCCCTCCACTGGCCTCCACTCAGTGTCCTCCACCCCTCTCTGCCAATCCCTCCACTGGCCTCCACTCAGTGCCCTCCACCTCTCTCTGCCAATCCCTCCACTTGCCGCCACGCAGTGTCCTCCACCCCTCTCTGCCAATCCCTCCACTGGCCTACACACTCAGTGTCCTCCACCTCTCTCTGCCAATCCCTCCACTGGCTGCCACGCAGTGTCCTCCACCCCTCTCTGCCAATCCCTCCACTGGCCTACACTCAGTGTTCTCCACCCCTCTCTGCAAATCCCTCCACTGACCTCCACTCAGTGTCCTCCACCCCTCTCTGCCAATCCCTCCACTGACCTCCACTCAATGTCCTCCACCACTCTCTGCAAATCCCTCCACTGACCTCCACTCAGTGTCCTCCACTCCTCTCTGCCAATCCCTCCACTGGCCTCCACTCAGTGCCCTCCACCTCTCTCTGCCAATCCCTCCACTGGCCGCCACGCAGTGTCCTCCACCCCTCTCTGCCAATCCCTCCACTGGCCTACACTCAGTGTCCTCCACCCCCTCTCTGCCAATTCCTCCACTGACCTCCACTCAGTGTCCTCCACCCTTCTCTGCCGATCCCTCCACTGGCCTCCACTCAGTGTCCTCCACCCCTCTCTGCCAATCCCTCCACTGGCCTCCACTCAGTGCCCTCCACCTCTCTCTGCCAATCCCTCCACTGGCCGCCACGCAGTGTCCTCCACCCCTCTCTGCCAATCCCTCCACTGGCCTACACTCAGTGTCCTCCACCTCTCTCTGCCAATCCCTCCACTGGCCTCCACTCAGTGCCCTCCACCTCTCTCTGCCAATCCCTCCACTGGCCGTCACGCAGTGTCCTCAACCCCTCTCTGCCAATCCCTCCACTTGCCTACACTCAGTGTTCTCCACCCCTCTCTGCAAATCCCTCCACTGACCTCCACTCAGTGCCCTCCACCCCTCTCTGCCAATCTCTCCACTTACCTCCACTCAGTGTCCTCCACCCCTCTCTGCCAATCCCTTCACTGGCTTCCCAGATAAAATTCAAAACATTAACAGTAACGTATAAAGCCATTTATAACTCTTCCCCAAATTACATCACTGATCTTGTCTCTAAATATCACCCAAACCGTACTCTCCACTCCTCACAAGACCTCCTGCTCTCTAGCTCCCTTGTCTCCTCCTCCCATGCTTGTCTCCAGGACTTCTGCAGAGCTTCCCCCATCCTCTGGAACTCTCTACCCCAATTTATCAGACTATCACCTACTCTGCTCACTTTTAGGTGATCTCTGAAAACCGATCTCTTCAGGGAAGCCTACCCTGCCCTCAGCTAATAATGGAATCTTCTATTCCTCCTACCAGTCCATCCCCCACAGTTACTACCTTTTGTACCACTAGCCCCTCCCTCTTAGATTGTAAGCTCCCAGGATCAGGACCCTCCTATCCCTCTTGTATTGAACTGTATTGTTGCTGTATTGTCTCCCACTATAATGTACAGTGCTGAGCAAACTATTGGCGCTATATAAATCCTGTATAATAATAATAATAATAATTAAAGGTGGCGTCTGGTGGACTGTGTCAATCTCAGTCTCTAGCACAATCAAGTCACCAATATCAAACATTTTAAGTAGAAGTTTTAGATGGACTGGACCTTTAAATCTTTGCTTTCTGTCACATACAAACAGCAGCTCTTTTTATCTCGCCCGGTGTCAGGTGCTGCTGGCAACTTAATGATTTCCATGGCTCAGACAGATGTGACGGGGTATGAGAATGACTCCATCCTGCTCTCCGTGTCCTACCACATGGACAAACAGGCCAGCTGGCTTCAGATACGATGGTACCACCTCAACCAGTCAAGCGAGTGTCCACCTGCTTATTTGTACCATTACAGTTGATGGCACTGGGAAGAAAACTGTTGCCCAATTTCCCTGATGGCTACGAGAAGCGGATGAGGTTGATTCCAGAGAATGGATCTTTAATTATCCAACATTTGAAGATGGAGGACAGTGGGGATTTACAGGGTCTCTATGATGGGACAGTGATAATACCAAATCTGTTGACATCAACGTTTACTGTCAACTACGGCCAGAGTCACGGTAAGAACTCTGCTCCATCCAGGCAGAACTCACACAAACGCCACCATTCTCTACGCCGAGTACTCAAAACGAATACCATCCGCTACGGCCAGACTGACGGTAAGAACCGTGTCTCTTACATCTGACCTGCTTGCTTATACTGCTTTAGGTCACTGAGCACTCCTTAGTAAGAGGACCTGATACATGTTCACATCAACAGGACATTACATGAAGGAGGTAGAAACCCAATAGTAATGGTCTTCTCTGTATTCCTGTAGCATACTTACTAACATCAGACATTCGAAGAGGGAGAATATGGAAGGGAAAAGCATGCAAAAATGGGTGTGGCTACATTATGCTCAATATTGGATGTAGCCTATAGGCCCATACATACTGAGTGCTTTCCCCAATGCTAGAGGTTCACTCTAATGTTGGCCCCAGCTGCTGCTTGGACTTTTTCTTTCTTCCTTTACATACTGTATTTGGAAATATGACTAAAAGGTATTAATTCCCTTTTTCTGCTACTTCGTGCTTCAGTTTGATTTTGGTTTTAATTTAGACTACTGACAGGTTCTGTTTCCACTGGCCACCTTCACTGACCTGCAGTCGTCAAATCACCCTCTGGGTCCATCATCTCCTGTGTCATTAATTATTTTAATTTCATAGTTTTATTTATCTTTTTTTATTCATTATTTAGTAAAAATAAAACAGAAAACTTACAAGAAAACAGGAAAAAAAAAATTCAATTTCCCTCTACAAAATTCTTTTTTTTAAATATTGTAACCACATCATCTCTTGTAGCCTGTATACCTCTATACACAAGAGCAGTTTTTCCATGACTAGTGTAGAGGAGATGTGTTGTCAAATGCTAACACCCCCAAAACATACTTACCAACCCCCCTCCAAAAAAACCCCCCATTTCCCAACACTCCCGTCCACCAATAAAAAAGACCACACTTAGTTGGAGTAAAATGGCCTTCACAGCCTTTTATCAACAATTTAACTTAATATACAGAAAACATTCCTTAAAAACCACAAAACTTCCATAAACGTGATGGAATGAGTTGATTGATCTAGGCAGGCACCCAAACAATATTGATAGCTCCCCCTTCTGCAGAACCTTAATATTCCTACTAGGCCTCCAGCCACATCGCACCGACTCGGAGACAAGGACACACCTTCTGCAGGTCAAGACCTCCACCTTCCAGTTAAACCTCGGTTAACTGGAATTTACCCGGCACACCATACCACAGATGGGTCCCAACCAACCACAGATGGATCCCAACCATACACTGACCATCACAACACATAAAAACCAAACACTAGCCCAAGGGCCTGGGGTCACCCCTCCAACAAACCACCGCCCAGCCCCATGACCCCCCCCCCCCAACCGGACGCCCCCAGGGGAGTGGCGGGCGGGGCGGAGAACTTTCCTCTCTAGCTGCAAACCAGGCACTGGCTCCTCCTGTCCGACCCCCCCAGCACTTCCCCAGATTCAGGTGCATCCCACCAAACCCACCAATCAGGTAACCTTACTATCTTTTTAACCCCCCAACTGAAAACCCTTTCCTGTCTTTTCAGTCCCCCCCTAGTCATGTCCCCCTGCACTATTCTTCCAGTTCTTTCTTTTCTTCTTCATTCTTTTATTTTCTATTCAATTTTCACAACCTTTCTTTCCAAGACCCAACAACTCATCCACCTCACCTTTCTCCCCAAACCACCCCCCACCCCCACTTCTTTCCTTTCCCTCCTCCTCCTCTCCTCTCTTTTCTCCTTTCATCAATCAGCTTTCTTTCTTTTCTTTTCTGGCTCCTCTTTCTTCTTTCTTCTTTCGATCTCTTTTTTTCTTCTCTCTCCCTCTCTTTCTTTCTTTCACTTTCTTCTCTCTCTATCTTTCAGGAGGATCCACCCTTACATTTCTTTCTTTTAACACCATCAGGTAACCTTACTATCTTTCTTTATTTCTTTTTCCCTCTTAACTTAACTATTCCTTTCTTTCTTTATTTCTTTCTTCTCCCTCTTTCACTCTAGCAGTCATTCTTCCTTTATCGCTCCCTTCTTTCTTTCTTTCTTTCTTCTTTCTTTCATTTCTTTCTTTCTCTCTCTCTCTTTCTCTCATTTCTCATCCTTTCCTCTCTCTCTCTCTTTCTCTCTCCCTCTCTCTCTTCTTTCCTCTTCTTTTCTTCCCTCTCTCTTTTCTTTCTTTTCCCTCTCTTAATCTTTCTTTCTTTCCTTTTCTTTTCTTTCTTTTCTTTCTTTCCCCCTCTCTTTTTTCTTTCTTTCTTTCCTTTCTTTCTTACTTTCTTTCTTTCCCCCTCTTTCTTTTCCTTCTCCCTCTTTCTTTCTTCTTCTTCATCCGCTTTTCCTCTCTTCTTTCTTTTTCTCTCTTTCTTGTCTCTTTCTTTCTTTCTTTCTTTCTTTCTTCCCTTTTCCATTATTTGGCAATACATGTGTAATAACAAGACACCAAAGCAATGCCTACATTGTTTTTAGGATGCAGACTAGCTATCTTTTATAAATAATTGTCATTCAAAAATGATGTTCTCCGTATTCTATAGATAAAAAGTTTGTAGCGCTACCCCCCAGCAGAAGCCGCTGGTTGTACCGGGTCCTCTGTTCTTACCTTGACATTTGCAAATGCCTTACCATCTCTGGCACCATGGGTATACACGTCAAAAGACAAAGACTGATAACTTTTGGTTAGGACCCGTAGGGTGACCCTTGAGACCTTGGAGTAGAATAGCAAAGTATATTGAGAATACGAATACTCAAAAAGGACAGAATATTGCAATGAGAAACACTTTGTGTCATACACAATTTTGTACTGACAGAGTAGGAGTGCTACTTTTAAACTTGGTAAGATCAGAATAAACTGTAGCTGTCCCCACCAAATGAGCAGCCTACAGGAACCGTAATGCTGTAAACGCCTGAGTAGGTAAATGTTTAGTTTTTAGAATGAGGAGGCCAAGTCTAGGCCGTGCTTGGTGGCTGCAACATATCAATAAACTCTTACTCATATAGAACAAGAACTCTAACACAGTCCTTAAAGCAGGGTTTCTCAACCAGGTTCTGTGGAACCCTAGGGTTCCTCCAGAGCTTGCAAGGGGTTCAGTGGCATCTCTAGGAGGTACTGGGGTTGCAGGCCCGCACCGTGTGACACCATCACACAGGGGGTGCAGGAAGCAGATGCCAGCAGAGCTTCTGGGCTCTGTGAAGGTCCTTGGCCAGTTATTGGGGTGATCCTGGATTCTCGGTACAGTAACAGCTGCCCCCAAGTAGCGGTAAAATGAGTATCCCCTGAAGCATCCCCCCCCCCCCCCCCCCCCCCCCCCCCCCCCCCCCCACTACTTCCCATGTGCCGGTTTCAGGCCAAAGAAGCCGATCTCTGACTTTAGCAAAGAGCTGCCACAGTTAACCCCTTACAGGCTGCACACTGCTGAAGCTGATCCCCGCGGATCACTATGGGTTGCAAGATCAGTTAACACGGTTCAATTTTAAGGGGGGGCTCAAGACAGTATTAGGGGGGCACAAGGCAATACTGGAGGGA